GTTGTTGTAGTATAATCTGTGTTGTCGTATAATCTGTGTTGTTGTAGTATAATCTGTGTTGTTGTAGTATAATCTGTGTTGTAGTATAATCTGTGTTGTTGTAGTATAATCTTTGTTGTTGAAGTATAATCTGTGTTGTTGTAGTATAATCTGTGTTGTTGTAGTATAATCTGTGTTGTTGTAGTATAATCTATGTTGTCGTATAATCTGTGTTGTTGAAGTATAATCTGTGTTGTTGTAGTATAATCTGTGTTGTCGTATAATCTGTGTTGTTGTAGTATAATCTGTGTTGTTGTAGTATAATCTGTGTTGTTGTAGTATAATCTGTGTTGTAGTATAATCTGTGTTGTTGTAGTATAATCTGTGTTGTAGTATAATCTGTGTTGTTGTCGTATAATCTGTGTTGTTGTAGTATAATCTGTGTTGTTGAAGTATAATCTGTGTTGTTGAAGTATAATCTGTGTTGTTGTAGTAGTATAATCTGTGTTGTTGTAGTATAATCTGTTTTGTTGTAGTATAATCTGTGTTGTTGAAGTATAATCTGTGTTGTTGTAGTATAATCTGTGTTGTTGTAGTATAATCTGTGGTTTCGCAGTATTTGTACACACCATGCAGACTGAGTAAACTGCTGCGCGGCCGTCACGGCGTCATCAGGGTTCAGTACCACCATGGGAACCTTGTTGCATCCTGGTTGCTTCAGGACTCGCTCCAGCTGACGGACGGTTCTGTCCACGGTGCTGCGTGAGCAGAGGTCCACTTTACTGACCACGATAAAAATGGGAAGTTTCAGCGCCATGGCCAGACCCAGGTGCTCTCGGGTTGTACCGGCTGGATGAAGGAGAACAGAAAACTTCATTACCCAGCATTCCCTCCTCCTTGATCAATAAAAATGACCATTTTAAATAATTTAGTTTCATCTGACAGAAAATACAACAAACTGTCTGAATTCACCCGTTTTTTAAAATGATTAAATTTTCTGTGTTTAGAAACGCTGCTGATGTTTGAGTTCATGCAGAAAACAAACAAAAATGTAATAATTCAAGTTTAATAAAATTAAATAATAAAGTTGAATAATTAAAGAGTAATAAAGTTTAATCATTAAACTTTAATCAAATATAATAATTAAAGAATCAGACTGACTCAGCAGAGAAATCTGAAGTCTGATCGCTGCTGACCTCTAGTGGTGACGATAAGTAGCTGACAGTAAATGAGGGATCAACACGACTGATTTTAGGTTTTTACTGAATGACTGACCGACCGTGTGATCAGGAACAAAAACCAGGATTTTCTTCAGAACTTCGACCCATCGGTACCGAAGCGTGACCCAAAACCGAACCATAAGTTTCCATCTTACCGATGCCGGTGTTGGCGCTCACCACCAGCACGGCGAAGTCCGGACAGTAGCTGGTGAGTCCGAAGATGGTCGTCTTCAGATACTTGTGGTGTCCAGCCAGATCAATAAAGGTGATCATTTTCGACGAGCTTTCACAGATCTCCTCGGCGGTCCGAGACTCGCTGTAATTCACGACCTGAAACATGAAAACAGACGACAGGTGGAGTTTTTTTATTTCTTTATTTTTGTTTCTCTAAAATATTGATTTTATTTTCTGTTTTTGGTTCGACTTTATAACGAAGATCTTTATTCGTATTTTGGTCATTTTTCTTTGATGGTGTTTTCAAGTGTCGCTTCATCCCTCTCTTTGTTTTTCTTTCAGTTCAATCATTTTGACTTTTTCTTCTTTATTATTTGGAGTTTTATTTTATTTCTGTGTTTTTTGTGTTTTTGTCTTTCAGATGTTGTCTGTGAGTTCAGTGTTTCAAACTCCCTCAGAGTTTTTTTCTCCGTCTTCATTTTTCGATCGAGGCCGTCTTTCGCTCGCTCGCTCGCCCGCTCGCTCTCACCTCTCCTTTGCTGTTGAAGCCCAGGATCTCAAAGCTGATGCTGGAGGTTCGTCCGGTTTGGATCTCGTGGAGATGTCTGAAGAGGTTGAGTCGCGCCCGGCCTCGGCCGTTGTCCAGCTCTCCTTGTGTCAAGACGCCCAGCAGAGTTGACTTTCCTGAGTCGACATTTCCCAGAACCGCCACCCGCAGGTCCAAGAACTTTTCAGAAAACAAAAGAACAGACGGGGAGGATCAGAAACTTTGAAATAATCTGTGTTGTTTCCTCTTATTTTTGAACTCTGGTGTTTAAAACGTGTTTTCAGTCCAGTAGAAAAAAGTAGAAGTACAAAAACGAAGCTCTCGAGTCGTTTTCTGTTCAGGTGGAGGTGATATCACGTTACAACTCGGACGGTTAAAGCTTCGACAGCCAAGATAAAGACGTCAATCTTTAACGACTGAAAGATCTACATGGAACGAGGTTTCCACAGAGACCGCCATCCTGCACCGCCATATTTACCATAAATGCATAAAACAAACGAATGAACGAGTTTTTGAATCATTTTCATCTTCAAAATCTGATCAACAGACTGAGAGTGTTAATAACTGAAGTATTGATTGATTATGAAGAACAAATGAAAATGTGAATCTTTGATCAGATCAACAATATTTGATCTGAAGGTTTAAAACTCGGCAGTCAGAGAAGAATCTACGATCTTATTTTACACGACAGAGAAACTGATCAGTGATCGTTGGATCAAGATCAGATTAACTTCACCAGCTTCACTTCGTAGTTTAAGCCGGTCTCAGATTATGACCTGGAAGCGTTACCAAATAATCTGTGGGAAACTCTGAGGAAGAGAGCGAGCTTCAGACTGAAACGTCTGCCTCTGAGCTCTTCTCTTCTGGATTAACAGCAGCAGTAATCTGGAATAATCCAACAAAAACTCCATCAAACCAAAAATCTGAGGAAAGAGTTTCTGCTGCTACAGCGAAAGATTCAGGGAGAGAATAATCAATCAGTTTATAATCAGTTTATTAGTTTATTAATCAGTAATCAGTTTATCGGTGTTTCATTTATTATTAATTATCGTGAAGAAAAAAGGTCACCTGTTTGAGGGAAGCACCTGGTAAACCACACACACATACACACACACACACACACACACACACATACACACACACACTCACACACACTCACACACACACACGCAGGCCTTGTCCATTGCGTCGTTATATAACAGAGCTTTTGGCGAACTCCGGCCAAAGCGAACATTTTGGCGAACTCTGGATTTGCGTTTATTTGCTGTCGTATAAAAATGTTTTAAACGTCGTAAACTGTGGATGTCGTAAACTGTGGATGTCGTAAACTGTCGACGTCGTAAATTGTCGACGTCGTAAACTGTCGATGTCGTAAACTGTCGATGTCGGGCGTCGTTCAGCACAGATATTTACAGAATATTTGGGGTCAGTTATTCTCCACTCAGTAACCCTTCCTCCATCTTTCTTGTTGACTTTATAAAAAAGTAACTCCGCCTCTTTGTCGGTCCACACGAGCGAACTACACGGCGCTCTCTTCCATGTTTGGGGACAGCGAAGCTCGCTCTGATTGGATGGAACACTCTGAGCTCCAGGTCTGGCATGTTTATAACGGCGGTCTGTGTGGACGGGATTTTAAAACGATGATGTGATTTTTTAAATGGTCGGATATTCGTTAACAAAAATACGCAGCTCATGTGAACATGACCACAGACTGCATGACGACTTTAATCACCAAACTTTACAATAAAACGAGACGTTGACACGACAACGACTTTATTTGTTAATAAAAGCATCACAATCATTTTTACAATTCAAGCCATTATTCTGAGATTTTTCTATGACCTGATTTAGACGTGGAATCTCTCACCTGCTGATCATCTGGGACTTTCCGAACCAGAACTTCTGCTATTTTCCGGGTATTTCTGTCCGAGTCATAGTCGACCTCCCGCTCTCTGAGGAGCGTGATGTCTGCACCGACTCTGAAGAGACACAGTAGAAAAACCTGATCAGATTATCAATGAATCTGATTAAATCCATAAATCTGGAAGTTTGAACCTCTCAGGAGTTCTGAGCAGATATTTAAACTCTGTCCCTTCAAATTAAAATCGTATTAAATTAAGACTTAAGTTGACCGACGGGAGTCTGATATCTTCATATGTGTGAAAACAAAAAGACCAGCTGACCAATATTTATGTGACCATGTGACCTACTTCTCCGCCATCCTCTTTAAGGTCTTGAGTGAGGCCCTCATGTCGGCTTCAGTCAGACCAACCAGCAGACCGTTGTCCTCCACTCCAATCTGATAGACGGCCTCGCCGCGGCCCTCCTGCAAACGCCACTTCAGCTGTGTGGCCAAATGCTCGAAGCGGTACTGAGTGGGATTCACCAACTTTAACTAGAAAAGAGAAGAGAGGGTTCGAACACAGAGCAACAAAATCTAAAGCTGATTCTTACAGAATGATCAAACTCGAGGCTCCAAACGCCGTCCGGTGTGATAATAGTCTGACGATGGAAGTGACTCCACGGTCATGCGGTCTCTCTGGATCTGGTTTTTGTTTAACCACAGCAGCCTCTTTCTTTTTGTTTGGTTTTGTTTGAAAGAAGCTGATTTTGCCTTCGTTAATTATTACTTTTGTATTTCCTTCAAAGTTCCTCACTTCCTTTTCTTTTGTTGTTTATCTCCTCGTCATACTTCCAGGACATAACAACGAAAATTGAACTCAGAGCAAAAACATCACAGGTGGTTTAAGTTATAATGTCATGTAAAGGCGACCATGGTGACATTATCTTTAAGAGTCAAGGTCCACAGTCATCTACGATACTTCATATAAAGACAAAAACAAGAAGGCAGACTCTGAAATCTTCATTTCAGTCCAGGTTCCTGGTCTTGAGGAAAGATGTAAAAAAAGGACAGAGAGGTCATCAGAAACTGGACGGCAGACTCTTGTCTCTCCTCTAAGTTTGTTCCCATACTTCTGTCCAAAGTGAATCGTATATATGTGTGTTTTCAGAAGAAACACTAAGTTTAACAGTTGTTCTGTTAGCGGGAGTCGACCTTTGAAACAGATATTCTGTCTCTGTCTGTCGAACAAAGTCAACGCCTCACATTTTCTGCTGGTTCTTATTCTCATCCTCAGACGGTGCATTGATCTTTTTTTTCATCCTATCGTGTTGTAAGATTGTGTTCAGTTGATAAAAATGTATTTACCTTGTACTCTATGTTTCCTTCTTCAGCCTGTTCAGACAGAAAAGAACATTTTAGCTGCAGAGTTAGGAGTCGAGTTTCTTCTTTGCTAATGAACACAAAAATATAATCCTGCTGAAGAAAAATACATTCAAGGACATGATTTGACTGAGGTTATGATTCTGGACATTTATGTAAAAAACAAAACTATCTGATAAACGCCCTCAGGAGTTTTTAGAAACTTTAGACATTAAAATCATGACTCTTATTATTTTGTCTTTATTGACGACATTAGTTACAATAATAGCTGGATAATGTACTTCTATCAAGGGATATTACTGTCTCTCAGAAATACTAAAACAGTTTAACATTATCACATAAAACCTCTGATGTTGTAACATGAAACTTAATTGTCAAAAAATTATTGTTAATGTACTAAAATGTTTTGAATTTAAACCAATTTTCGACCCAAAGGTGCAGATATATTGATGAATTTGGTTCACTTACAGGATGTGTTTGAGTTTCACTAGGTCTATATAAATACATACACATACACACACACACACATACATATATATATATATATATATGTATATAACATTGTGCATTAAGTTTTTATGATAAAAACATTTTATTTAATGTAATTAGAGGTCATGTTAGAAAATCCATGTAAAGTTATAAAAAAAAACATCATTTCTCCAAACTGAGACAGACTTTCTCTGTCACATCCACCTGGTCCCACCCATTTCTTATTGTAAACCGAACATCATTGACTTTTCCTGCTATTTAAATTTTATCATAAAAAAAACGAGGTTTAACCACCTCACGATACTTAATCTTGGCGTCTTCTCTCTCAGAAGATATTACTATTATTCCGGCCTTAGTTTAAGATCCCCTGCTGATCTTTTCACATATTTATTTCCAGTTATTTAAGATGTTTTCGTAATAGCCCTAGCTTGATGTATTAAAACTATCCTCAAAAATTAAAGCTAAAAATCGCAGCAATATACACAGGATTCAGTAAAAGCAAAAGCCGAATTGCTCTTCGGGATTCGTTATGACAGAAACTTTATCCGGTCAACTTTTAATAAAGATGTTTTTTTACATTTTTACTTATTCGTCTAAAGTGATGAATGTTTGAAGGCAGTTTGGTGCGGCGTAGTCCGCAGAAAAGAAAACACGCATTGGCAGTGGAGGCTTGAAAAATAAATCTGGAATATCATGTTTTTCACAGCATGTTATTCCTATTTTCTTAATTTTAGTGTACATTTGTTCATATATCAGGTTTTCTGTAGCGCCACAGCTAAGCTACATTAGCGGGCAGCAGTCGCATTAATCCCCGGGGACGGTCGGACGGTACCTCCGGTGGGAAATACGGTGGTGGTGTTTTGTTGTTCCTGCTGCTCTTTTTGCTCCGTCTCTTTCTGCCCCTTTTCCCTCTCCTCGTTCGGGACTTTTTCGATGTTTTCTTCCCGTTATTGCAGGAGCCCTGTCCGTGTCTGACATGTCCGGGCGACACTGCACCACTCCCGGATAACAAATCCACCATCGCTGAGTCACCGGAAGATTACCGACATCAGAGTAAAACTCACGGAATCACATTATGAAACATTAATAAGTCTGTATTTCTGAAAGTCACATCGACCTAAAAACACACACGGCCTATCAGAGAGGAGGAGGAGGAGGATGCTTCATCTCTCTCTCTCCTCAGCATCATCATCATCACCGTCAATCAGCTGAACTACATACTTCCGGAGTGATCCTTCAAAATAATGTTACCAGCAAATTCCTCTAAAAAAATGAGTGTTGACTTCAAAGTAAGAGTCTGTATCACTGAGTCAATCTTAAAAATACCAACGCTGACAGAAAGCTGTAAATCTGAGCTTTCTGTCAATATATGATGTTTGGTTTTTATTACAGTAATCTTTAACCTCCACAACCACAACTAAGACCGGGGTGAGGGAGAAAGGGGGAGGCGAGTAAAAGAACGTTTTGATTTTTTTAATATGATATACTATCACACTATTTAACAAACTATTCTATGACATTTTAATCATACGACACAAAAACAAAGAAAAATGTTTTTTTTTTTTCATACTATAGTTTGACATTTTTTAACATACTAGACAATAACATTTTAGTCACATCATCCTATGAACTTTTTATCACATGTTTTTATTTTTAGACTAGACTACATTATAACATTTTATCAGACTATACTATGATATTTTTGAATGTTTATTTTTTTATCATACTCTACTTTGACATTTATAAACATACTACACTATGACTTTTAAATCATTAAAAACTTTTCACACAAAAATTTTAAATTCTTTATCATACTATACTATGACTTTTTACACATAAAAGGTTTTATTTTTATTTTTTTTTATCATACTCCCCTTTGAGGTACTTGCTACACTCTCTTATAGATGGGTTGGAGACAGAGCTGCCTCTAAAGGAGAGGAGAATTGCTCCTAAGGGAGGAAGATGTGCCCTTGTGTGATGTTACTTGAGACTCATTTTGTTTGATCTTGGGAAAAGTTTGTAGTTTTTAATGGAACCTATATATGTGAACTTTACTGTAAATAAAAATAGTCCATTCTGTAGAGTTGCCTTCCTCTCACCTTCCTTGACCCTTGAGCCAAAACTACTTTACAAAGACCCTGAAGAGCAAAAACACAAGTTTATAAATCAAAAACACACACACTGTGACTCTGTGTGGCTTTATTTGAAGATCCAGGTCTACAAAGGACACTGAAAGAGGAAGTAAACAGAATACTCCTGTGAGTCCACTTGGTTCAGGGATAAGGAGGCTGACTGGGACTGAGGTCATGGGTTCGAGCCCTATCCAGGACATGGTGAATTTTAAAGTCTAGTGTCTAGAGAGGGTTAGGGTGAGGGGACTGTCTCCCGTCTCTCATAGGGAGCAGGGTAGGCACTGGCCATCCCCCAACCAGACACTCCCCTCCGGTCCCAAAAGGGCTGGCGGAAGCGCTGGCCCCCCTCGGCCGTAGCGGACCTCCGTCCAGCCATGTTGGTAGCCACTCATGTTGGAGTGGCTATGTTAATTGTAATAGTTGTTTTTATATATATGTATTTTTATTTGTCCAAAAATAAAATAAATTGCTGATTTTTTTCAATAAAAGGAAACCTAACTGTAAAACAAAAGGAAACTTAACTTTGATTTTAAACTTTCTTAAATAAAAATCTGATTGTTTTCTTGAAAAAGGTAAAAATAAACTGTATTTTAAACTGTTTTGACAATTTTTTAAAATGTTTTTAAAGTTTTTTTTAGAAGTTTTAAATGTTTTTTAAAAATTTTGTTGCTTTTTAACTTTTTTTAAAAAAAAAAGAACTATTTACAAATAAATTTGAGTGCCAGTGATGATGTTTCGGCCCTGGTGGGTCTTCTTCAGGTCAGGCACTCGGTAAGAAACCAAAAACAAAAAGCTGCTGGCTGAATATTATTGTGGTGTTCTCTCTCCAAGCATCTAAATAGACATGAATAAACCCTGCCCACTTTTCCCTTTTTATAGTCTCTGGCCCAGAGTCACGCTGTAGGCCCGGTCAAGCACACTCCGTGGTTGGCCGTGGAAGGGCTTTTCCAGGGCCAGTTCGAGCTGGTAGGCCTCCCAACTCTCCTCATAGCCCCCCTCATGAGCCGATGTGGTCAACAGCTCTCCGAACCTGTCCACATTGTGGTCCACCACCGCAAAATGGAGGTCCCGAATGCCATCTCCCTTCACTAACTTGAATGGAAGGAGCATGGCCTCTTGGCTGAGCAGATCCAAGAGGGCCTTCTCCTCCATCAAGTGGAAGCTCGACAGAGTGTGAGGGATGTCCTGGGTGAAGAGCAGAACCCCTTCCACGCGAGCTGGGAGGTGGAAAATACCTTTAACACTCAGGTCCCTGAAGTGTTGAAGGTATTCCCTTGCCCTTTTGTGCATAGCCTTTGTCGAACTTTTGTGGAAAAGTCCACAGCAGGCTATAACTCCACTAATGGGGTGCTTGTAAAACGGGAACTGGTTTGTGTGGGGAGTCACAATAAAGTTGGAGGAAGTTGAGTCTTGGACTAACATTCCCAACTTTAAACAAAGACCACAGTTTGTGGTTCACATCCATGGGCCTCCCATCCAAGTTTGATTGGAAGTTAGCCTTCTCATGGATGGACAGGTTGCTGAACACATTTTCCCTTGACCCCGCCAGCTTATTAATCCCCCATCTGGACCACATCAGGTCCACATCTGTGTCAACATGCCAGATTGAACATGCTGCATGAACAGACAAGGACCTGATGTGGTCCATGGAGGAGAGGATGTCCAGGAGCATGATGGGCTTTGACTCCTGCCCACCAAGCTGTCCCACTGTCCTCAGAACAGCCACCCCATTTGGCAGCTCAATGGAGTCAATGGCTGTGTCTACTAAAGCCAGGAACATGGACTGGTCATCATGAAAGGGCCTGAACTCCGCAAGGTCAAATATGTTATTTTTTTGGATAGACAAGCGTGTCATCTCCATCGGACCAAGCTTTATCAGTTGGCTGACCACTGCCCTGGCTACGTCTGCTGAATACTCGGTCAGGTTTTTAGTAGCCGCCTCCAATACCAGTATGTTGCTGGGAACAACCTTGTCAGCTGGGACAAGGGAAAGGATCATGACCCAGCCCCCTTTGGCTGTGCCCAGGTTGACCCCATGCACCCGCCTCCACTCTTTCATCACCTCAGCTGACATCTGAGGTGATGAAAGAGTGTACTTTGTTCATGTACTTTGTTTGTTTGTTTGTGTGTTGTGTAAAAAACAGTAAAAAACCTAAAAAAATGGAAATTATGAATTACTCAACACATTAAAACCAAATTACAAACATTATTTATTAAACACAAGTCAGTGTTTCCGGTGGGACCGGGGGAGCGTGTCCGGTGGGCGAAGGCCCATGCATGTCCCGCTCCCTGCAGACCCAAGCAGGGTCAATTTAGAGGGAGACGGGATTCATTCCCCAAACCCTAACCCTAACCCCTAACCCTAACCCTAACCCTGACTCTAAACCGTAACCCTAACCCTAACACTAGCCTGGACCTAGGCTCTAACCCTAACCCTAACCCTAGCCCTAACCCTAACCCTAACACTAACCCTAGCCCTAACCCTAACCCTAGCTTGGGCTCTAACCCTAACCCTAACCTGGGCTCTAACTCTAACCCTAGCCCTAAACCTAACCCTAGCTTGGGCTCTAACCCTAACCCTAACCCTAGCCCTAACCCCTAACCCTAACCTTAGGGGGTTAATAAATAAATAAATAAGATCATATATTATATGGTAAATCATCTACAAGGGTGCTAAAGGGTTAAAAGTGTAAAAAGAAAAAGGGTTTATAATTTAGTTAAAAGATAAGAAAATTCATGGTATTTTTCTTTTGGCGAGTATAAAAGGCAGAGCAGAGGAGGAAAATTCATTTTCACTCTGACAGCCACTAAGTAAAGACCTACTTTCTTTAAACCACTGTTTGTTTTTTGTGTGTGCCTTGGCCTGAGGAAGACCGACGCAGGTCGAAACATAGCATCATAGGCACACAATAGGAATGCTAAGAAAAGTTATCATTGTTAAAAAAAAAAAAAAAAATTCTAAAAAATATAAAAAATTAAAAAATACAAAAAAATACAAAAAGATCTAAAAATAACTAAAAACAGTTCATGGTTTGAAAAACATTATTTTTGAGGGTATTTAATCACAGTTTTAGTTAATAAAGAAGTTCAAATAAGAACGAACTCAACATTTTATTTTAAGAAAGGGTTTAAAAACAGTTATTTTATTAAAACAGCATCTCTGGACAATCACAATCATAAACTCATTCAAGAAAAAGTAAAAAACCACAAGAAAATCACAATTTTGTTTAAGAAATTCTTTATTTCATTGCTGTGGGACACAAATCACAATTTCAGTTAAAGCACATAACAAGCAACTATCATTAAAAACAATTTAAAAACCAAATATGATGGCCACTCAGACTATGAGTGGCAACAATCACGGCTGGACGGAAGTCCGCTATGGCCGTAAGGGCCAGCGCTTCCGCCAGCCTTTCCGGGACCTGGGGAATGTGTCCGGTCGAGGGAAGGCCCGTGCATTACACGCTCCCTATGGGAGACGGGAGTCATTCACCTATCCTAACCCCTAACCCTAACCCTAAACCCTAACTCTAAACCCTAACCCTAACCATAGCTCCAACCCTAACCCTAACCCCTAGCCCTAACACTCACCCTAAACCTAACCCTAAAACTGGTGCAGCGCCACCTCTGGTCAAAAGCAGTGTGACACCCTTTTTTGCAAAATCGCCCTCAAACCACAGGAAATGGCCTGAAACGTGCTCACAATGCATTTTGAACATTTACAGACAAACTCAAACAGACCAAATCTCAGCCCAGTTCATCATTGGGAAAGGCAATGAACCGGCATGTCAAAAGTGGCACATACCCCGATATCATCATCCTAACCCTAACCCTAACCTAACGCTAACCCCTAACCCTAACCCCTATATCCTCCTAACCCTAACCCTAAACTAACCCTAACCCCTAACCTCCTAACCCTAACCCCTATATCATCATCCCTAACCCTAACCCCTATATTCTCCTAACCCTAACCCCTAACCCTAAATCCTAACCCCTAAATCCTAACCCTAACCCTAACCCTAACCTAACCCTAACCCCTATATCCTCCTAACCCTAACCTAACCCTAACCCCTCTATCCTCCTAACCCTAACCCTAAATCCTAACCCCTATATCCTCCTAACCCTAACCCTAACCCTAACCCTAACCCCTAAATCCTAACCCTAACCCTAACCCCTAACCCTAAATCCTAACCCCTAACCCTAATTAGGGTTAAAAAAAAGAAGGAACGCTTCACGAATTTGCGTGTCATCCTTGCGCAGGGGCCATGCTAATCTTCTCTGTATCGTTCCAATTTTAGTATATGTGTTAGAGAACTAACACAAAAGTGACCAGAAGATCACATTTCTTATATACCCAGCAATACAAAGACTCTCTTCAATCATGGTGCAGCTTTCACATGTGTTTTCACATAGCTGCTTTTCCAAACAAATTCTGTGACCTAAGGTATTTCTAGGCCAAGGTCTGGATCTTCCACTATGGGTTTTGCACCTTAAATTCTCAAAATTAGTGTTCCTATCTAGTTTTTTTCCAATGGGAATTTGCATTCTTCTGAACAGCACAGGGGCATTCTGGGTAATCCAGGCATATTGCAGGCACACCAGAACACGTGATTGGCTGCTGCAGGAGCGAGATCAAAAGGCTGACTCAACCCCCTCCCTACCTTGGGTTTCTTACACAATGGGCCCTGAACCTAACCCTCAGGGGTCAGTGGGGGTTGGTAAGAATTCAAAGCACATTGGTGGAGAGACCCTGTGTGAGAGAGAAACTAAAGAGAGAGAGAACCGGTGTGGACTGGTTTGGCCTACGTCACTCCTTTAAACCGGAAGAGCTAAGGCAGGGAGTCTCTCGCTGTAGACAACACCTCCTTGTCACCCAGTTCCTGCTACGGACACAAGACAGTAGCACACATCAAGGACCAGGGGCACATCTTTGAACCTCAACCAGAGGCTGGATTTACCTCAAAACCTGTTAAACACCCGGATCTGGGAGCAGGGCTGAATGTATAGTACACTGATTCTGAATCGTTCCAATTTCATATTTGTGGGGCCATGCTGATCATCTCTGTATCATTCCAATTTTAGTATTTATGTAATCTTCTCTGTATCGTTCCAATTTTAGTATTTGTGTTAGTCGTCTGGCCTGTCGTATCTATGCTTCTCCGATATTAGTATTTGTGTTAGTCATCCAATCTATTGTGTCTATGTGGCCATGCTAATCTTCTCTGTATCGTTCCAATTTTAGTATTTGTGTAATCTTCTCTGTATCGTTCCAATTTAAGTTTTAGTGTTAGTCATCTAGCCTTTCGTATCTATGAGGCCCTGCTCACCTTCTCTGTATTGTTCCAATTTTAGTATTTGTGTTGGTCATCTTGCCTGTCATATCTATGGGGCCATGCTAATCTTCTCTGTATCGTTCCAATTTTAGTATTTGTGTTAATCGTCTGACCTGTCCTATCTACACTTCTCCAATTTTAGTATTTGTGTTAGTCATCCAATCTATTTGTCTTTGAGGCCATGCTAATCTTCCCTGTATCGTTCCAATTTTAGTATTCTCCATGAACAAAACATGTTGAAAACATTCAATCCTACAAAAACTCACTCTCAGCCCATGCTAAATCTTCTCTGAATCATTCATTTCATTTTGATAGACATTTTATTTATTTTTTTCACTTTTATTTCATTTTATTTCATTTTATTTCACAAAAAAACAAAAAAGCATAAAAAAATAAGAACAATTCATTTATTTTGTTATACTGTTTTAGTTTTAAATACCTTGATTTGAATAAATAAATAAATAAGTTAGATAGATACACCAATAAATAAATAGTTTAGTACATACACCACATTAATAAATAGTAATAAATAATTTAAAAGATTAAAAAACAATCATGATTTACGAGCAAGAACAATGGACTGAAGTGCGATACGGGAGAAGGCGTGGTCGATGCCCGTACCGCACTAATCAGCAGTACCAAACGGGGTCGTGGGGGCCGGGAAACAGGGGGATGGACCGTGCACCTCCTGTCTCCTATTCTAGGAGACAGTCCCCCTTTTCCCGTAATCCTAACCCCTAACCCTAACCCTAACACTTAAATTGGAACAATACAGAGAAGGTGAGCAGGGCCCCATCGATACGACAGGCTAGATGACTAACACTAAAACTTAAATTGGAACAATACAGAGAAGATTACACAAATACTAAAATTGGAACGATACAGAGAAGATTACACAAATACTAATATCAGAGAAGCATAGATACGACAGGTCAGACGACTAACACAAATACTAAAATTGGAACGATACAGAGAAGATTACATAAATACTAAAATTGGAACGATACAGAGAAGATTACACAAATACTAAAATTGGAACGATACAGAGAAGATTACACAAATACTAAAATTGGAATGATACAGAGATGATCAGCATGGCCCCACAAATATGAAATTGGAATGATTCAGAGAAGATTTAGCATGGGCTGAGTGTGTGTTTTTGTAGGATTGAATGTTTTCAACATGTTTTGTTCATGGAGAATACTAAAATTGGAACGATACAGAGAAGATTACACAAATACTAAAATTGGTACGATACAGAGAAGATTAGCATGGCCTCAAAGACAAATAGATTGGATGACTAACACAAATACTAAAATTGGAGAAGCGTAAATAAGACAGGCCAGACGATTAACACAAATACTAAAATTGGAGCAATACAGAGAAGATTACACAAATACTAAAATTGTGGGGCCATGCTAAACTTCTCTGTATCATTCATGTTTTAGTATATGTGTTAAAGAACTAACATGAGAGTGATCAGAAGATCACATTTCTTATATACCCATACTCTCTTCAATCATGGTGCAGCTTTCACATGTGTTTTCACATAGCTGCTTTTCCAGGCAGCAAACAGACCAGATGAACATGTCCACATCTAATATGGATCAGCAAGAGTCTCACAGGCATTTTACAGAGCCAATATTTTAAAGGCATATAAATGAGTTTCAGATCTAGGCCCTTTTTTTGAACATCTGCTCGAAAATGACAAACCCAAAATGAACTGAGCATATCTCAGTAATTACCAGGTGTATCTGTATGACATGGTATCATTGTGAAGGTAACACTTGTCAGTAACAGAATCAGTGTACTATACATTCAGCCCTGCTCCCAGATCCGGGTTTTTATCAGGTTTTGAGGTAAATCCAGCCTCTGGTTGAGGTTCAAAGATGTGCCCCTGGTCCTTGATGTGTGCTACTGTCTTGTGTCCGTAGCAGGAACTGGGTGACAAGGAGGTGTTGTCTACAGCGAGAGACTCCCTGCCTTAGCTCTTCCGGTTTAAAGGAGTGACGTAGGCCAAACCAGTCCACACCGGTTCTCTCTCTCTTTAGTTTCTCTCTCACACAGGGTCTCTCCACCAATGTGCTTTGAATTCTTACCAACCCCCACTGACCCCTGAGGGTTAGGTTCAGGGTCCATTGCGTAAGAAACCCAAGGTAGGGAGGGGGTTGAGTCAGCCTTTTGATCTCGCTCCTGCAGCAGCCAATCACGTGTTCTGGTGTGCCTGCAATATGCCTGGATTACCCAGAATGCCCCTGTGCTGTTCAGAAGAATGCAAATTCCCATTGGAAAAAAACTAGATAGGAACACTAATTTTGAGAATTTAAGGTGCAAAACCCATAGTGGAAGATCCAGACCTTGGCCTAGAAATACCTTAGGTCACAGAATTTGTTTGGAAAAGCAGCTATGTGAAAACACATGTGAAAGCTGCACCATGATTGAAGAGAGTCTTTGTATTGCTGGGTATATAAGAAATGTGATCTTCTGGTTACTTTCGTGTTAGTTCTCTAACACATATACTAAAATTGGAACGATACAGAGAAGATTAGCATGGCCCCTGCGCAAGGATGACACGCAAATTCGTGAAGCGTTCCTTCTTTTTTTTAACCCTAATTAGGGTTAGGGTAAGGGTTAGGTTTGGGGAATGAATCCCGTCTCCCATAGGGAGCGGGGAATGCACGGGCCTTCCTCGACCGGACACGTTCCCCCGGTCCCGGAATGGCTGGCGGAAGCGCTGGCCTTTACGGCCAAAGCGGACCTCCGTCCAGCCGTCAAAGCCACTCCTGCGTGGAGTGGCCATCATACTTTGCTTTTTAGATTGTTTTTAAGATTTTTGTATATTTAAATTAAAATTGTGATTTTAATATGCTTTAACTGAAATTGTGATTTGTATCCCACAGCAATAAAATAAAAGCTTTCTTAAACAAAATTTTGATTTTCTTGTGGTTTTTTATTGTTCCTTGAATGAGATTATGATTGTGATTATCCCGAGATGCTGTTTTTAATAAACAAAAATAAAATAACTGTTTTTAAACCCTTTCTTAAAATAAAATGTTGATTTCGTTCTTATTTGAACTTCTAAATTAACTAAAACTGTGATTAAATACCCTCAAATATAATATTTTTCAAAAGATAAACTGTTTTTAACTATTTTTACATTTTTTTGTATTTTTTTGTATTTTTTTATATTTTTTTATATTTTTTATTTTTTTATTTGTTTTTCACAATGATAACTATTCTTAGCCTTCCTATTGTGTGCCTATGAAGCTACGTTTCGACCTGCTTAGGTCTTCTTCAGGCCAAGGCACACACAAAAAAAACAACAGTGGTTTAAATGCAGTAGTTCTTTACTTGGTGGCTGTCAGAGTGAAAATGAATTTTCCTCCTCTGCTCTGCCTTTTATACTCTCCCAGAGAAAAATACAATGAATTTCCTTATTTTTAAACTAAATTATAACCCTTTTTGTATTTGCTCTTTTAACCCTTTAGCACCCTTGTAGATGATTTACCATGCAATATATGATGTTATTTATTTATTTGTTTATTTATTTATTTATTTATTTATTTATTTATTAACCCCCTAAGGTTAGGGTTAGGGTTAGACCTATGGTTAGGGTTAGGGTTAGGGTTAGGGCTAGGGTTAGGGTTAGAGCCCAGGTTAGGGTTAGGGTTAGGTGAGGGGACTCTGTCCCGTCTCCCATAAGGAGCGGGGAATGCGCTGGCCTTCCCCCATCCGTACCCGTCCCTACGATCCCAAGACTGCTGGCGGAAACGTCGAGCCCTCCGGCCGTATCTGACTTCCGTCCAGCCTTGATTGTAGCCACTCATGTTGGAGTGGCTATTGAAATGTTTTATTTATTTTAATATTGGTTTGTTTAAAGAAATAAAAGACTGATTTTTACCTATAAAAGGAAACCTATCTGTATAAACAAAGGAAACTTAACTTTTAAAATTTAAACTTTTCTTAAAATAAAATGCTGATTGTTTTAATCAAAATGTAAAAATAAAATGAATAAACTGTTTTTAAATATTTTTAGATGTTTTTAAAGTTTTTATCAAGTTTTTTAATTTTTTTAGATTTTTTTGTTATTTTTTAAACTTTTTTTCTCAATAAACTATGTACAAATAAAATTTGTGTGCCCACGACGACGTTTCGACCCGTTGTGGGTCTTCTTCAGGTCTGGCACACCTCACTTCAACAAAAAAAACTCTCTCTGAAATGAAAAACAAAAGATGCTGGCTGGTAATTATAAAGATGTTCTCTCTTCAAGCTTCTGAGTGGAAATGATTAAGCCCAACCCACTGCTCCCTTTTATAGTCTCTGGCAAATAAATACAATGAATTTTGTTATTTTATTATCATGTGCTCTTTTAAATTTTAAGCCCTTAACTATGAATTACTTTT